AACATTTTAATGGATTTGTTCTTGAGAACTAAAAGGAATGGATTCATAAGATTTGGCTGGTAGCTTTTTGGAATAGAGCTAACCAATTTGAGAAGGAAAATGACATTGACCTACTAACAAGATAACAGGGAAACAAATGTCAAGCAACTTCTGAAGAAGAATCAAAAAGCATAGAATCCTATAATAATATTTTGCTGGTAGTTTCAACAGATGGAGCCAACAAAGTTTGCGAGGGAAATATTTTTAGTGGAATATAATATTTAATGAGAATATTTTGCTATGACTGCTTAAATATTCAGGTGAGCGATACAGGCCCTCTTGGGCCTCTTGTTTATTTCATGGAATTATATTTGTTGGAAATCTGAATGTTTGAAAACAGAAAGAAAAAGAAAAGAAGAACACAACAGGGGTCAGAATTGGTACCTTTACATTGCAAAGCATATACTTCTATACGCCCGCCAAATTTGACGGGAGTATTATGGTATGGGTTCGTCCGTACGTCCGGCCGGTGTAAACTTTTGTTTGTCCGGCAATCTCCTCCTACATTTTCCACCATTCTCTTTGAAACAGGGTTTACATTATAACCATGTTATGAGTTTTTTCTCCCTTTAAAGAATTTTGATTCAACAGTTTTTCCAAAAGTAATTGCCCTTTGTTCATTTTAGTATTTGATTTTTTGTCCAGCAATCTCCTCCTACATTTTTTGACGGATTTCTTCGAAACTTAGTATGCTAAATAATCATGATATGTTTGTTGTGTTTCCTGGAAAAGAATTTTGATTTAACAATTTTTGCAAAAGTTATTGCCCTTTGTTTTTTTCAGTATTTGATTTTTGTCCGGCAATCTCCTCCTACATTTTTTAACGAATCTCTTTGAAACTTGGTATACATTATAATCATGATATGAAGTTATGTCTCCCTAAAAAGAATTTTGATTCGACAATTTTTCCAAAAGTAATTGCCCTTTGTTCATTTCAGTATTTGATTTTTTTGTCCAGAGATTTTCTCCTACATTTTTTAAAGCATGTCAGCTAACCACTCTTAGAATGATGCAGATCTTATTTCAATGTAAGAAAGTATATAACACTATATGGCATTCAACGGGCATATATTGTTCCGCCCCGAAATACTCTTGTTGAATATTGCTACTATGCAGGACATTATATACTGACACAGCATCAAAATAAGTGATCATTTATTAGCCTCTAAGCATATGTAAATCTTGACAGGGGAAGTAGTTTTAAGTCAGAAAAACTCTTTTTAAAAGATTGCTTCACTTCCTATATATTTTGGAGGCACGGTAGTCTAGTGGTAAGACGAAGGGTGGTGGGTTCGAGTCACGTCGCGGCACTGTGTTGTATCATTGAGCAAGATACTTTACTCTGCTTGTTCCAGTCTACTCAGCTGTAAATGAGTAAGTGGTTGGGCAGTGCTGGAATTGTAGATTTCTAGCTGTGAGTGCCAAAATGGCAGCACCGGCTGTATGCTCCCCTGGTTGTTGAGAAAGATATTAGCTGGTTGCAAAGGCCCTATACCACGGATAATAATTTGTGAACCACTTTGAGACAACCTATGAACTAGGTTGTGATAAAGCTGTATATAAGAACCTCGAATTATTATTATTATTATATAGAAGGTAGAATACTCCAAATAAAAATAACTGACTGGAACTCTTCTTTGTGATTAGAACTGATGCAGTGGTACCCGCTGCCTTAACACAATTATTCACATGGCTCCAAGGTTGTGAAGATTGGACATAATAAAGACTTTTTCACTATACTCACATTTGTTTATATTTATTTCATGATATTAACACTTATTTACATATTCTCATTATACTTATACCACTTCAGTATGCTAAAATCACCATGCTAATACTAAATGCTTTACTATACTAATTTTACTAGATAACCACACTTTATTTGTAACAACACAATATTATTTTCCATTCATGCATACATGTATAAGCTGTATTGTTACATTTCACCATACACTAAACTTACCTTTGATTTCATTATAAACTTCTTATTTTCACTGTACTAGATTAATTGCTATTTACTCACAATACTAACAATGTGCACATGTTTATTGGTTTTGTTGGTGCTTAGGGTTAATACAAATGTATTATGTGAGGAATCGCACCTATATGTTTTATGAAGGTTTGCTTGTTTAATGTCCAGCTGGGTCCCAATATTGTGTCTTTGTTTTTCATCCATTTAATCATCAGATGATACCTTTCGTCTTTGTAAAATTTCAATTGAAGTATTAATTTGTATAAAGAATGTCTGCATTTTGTAGTTTGACGATAAAATCTGCAAGACAACAGCTTAAATATAAGTTCGTTACTGATGGTCAGAAACAACAGTGCTGTTACTTTTGAACTGTGCTGAATGTTAGCTTCAAATGTTTTGTGTTTGGAGACTTTGTGTTGTGTACAGGTCTTTGTAGTCAATCAAGCTCATGGCTGCATAATTGTTTCATGGATGCACCATAAATATATGCCGCATATAACTACAAGGTCAAAGTTCAATCGAAAAGAAAATTTTGTGCACAAATTATTTTTTCTTCATTTAAGTATAATATCAAAGTTTAATTGGTCCTTTGTAGCCTTATGGCATTCCAATTTTATTCTTTTAACTTTTAATGAATCCTAGTTTGAAATTTAATGATTCCTTCCAAGATGGCCTTCATGGTAAACAATAATTGGCAGTGTTTAAGCTTTTACACCAAGTGCCAGCTGTGACCCCTTTTTATTTGTCCTAGATTTTCCTCCTTTATGAAAATTTGAGAACCAATTTTTGAACTGGAATGTTTAACCTTTAAGTTGTATTTTGCCATCTGTATAAAGATTTGAGAACCCCTTTGTCAACTGGAACGTCAATACTTGTATATCACTCCCTTTATTAAGACTTGTTACTGGATTAATTTACAGATGATAGATCCAGATTCTTCTGTTGCCAAACGCCTGGGGTCATATTCATCTGAACACAAGAACAGTATGACAATGGAAAGCATCAACGAGACTGCCAAGTCTGACCAGGTACTGTCTTTTATACATGATTAAGTGCAAAAACCATTTTGTCACATCGTTGTACAGGTAAAAAAAAATCAAATTGCTCACTCATTTAGTCATAGCTTGACAAAGGGACCAGTCAGCCTTGAAACGTTGTGACACGTTTAATACATACATTGTTTTTGTAGAAAGTAAAACTTTGATATTGCATATTTCTGAACTGATGAATCTTATTGAAGATATGCGAAAAAGCAATGGTTGTTTTCGTGGTCTGACGATGTCACATACAATGAAAATTATTGAATGTGATATCTGTTACAAATTTGTGAAATTTAATGGATCAGGTTTTCTATCTATTTTCGCTTTTCTACAAAGATGTTTTCCTATTTAACAACACAGATAGTTGACAAGCCTTTGCCTGATGCAGATGAGGCAGAGGATTTCTATAGCAAGATGCTTGAAACAGAGTTAATGGATCAAGAGACATATGAGGCTGTGACTTCTGAGGCAGAAAAGAAACTATTACAACGTAATGACACGTTAAACACTGACCATAGTGTGGACAGCACAGACTCGGGTAACTCTTAACAAAGCTGTCAGCTAGCTACAGAAACTAGGATAGCAACTTGTCAGCTAGCTACAGAAACTAAGATAGCAACTTGTCAGCTAGCTACAGAAACTAGGATAGCTAACAAAGCTCTCAGCTAGCTACAGAAAGTAGGATAGCTAACAAAGCTCTCAGCTAGCTACAGAAACTAGGATAGCTAACAAAGCTGTCAGCTAGCTACAGAAAGTAGGATAGCTAACAAACTTGTCAGCTAGCTACAGAAACTAGGATAGCTAACAAAGCTGTCAGCTAGCTACAGAAACTAGGAAAGCTAGCAAACTTGTCAGCTAGCTACAGAAAGTAGGATAGCTAACAAAGCTGTCAACTAGCTACAGAAAGTAGGAAAGCTAACAAACTTGTCAGCTAGCTACAGGAAGTAGGAAAGCTAACAAAGCTCTCAGCTAGCTACAGAAACTAGGATAGCTAACAAAGCTGTCAGCTAGCTACAGAAATTATGATAGCTAACAAAGCTGTCAGCTAGCTACAGAAACTAGGAAAGCTAACAAACTTGTCAGCTAGCTACAGAAACTAGGATAGCTAACAAAGCTCTCAGCTAGCTACAGAAACTAGGATAGCTAACAAAGCTGTCAGCTAGCTACAGAAACTAGGATAGCTAAAAAAGCTGTCAGCTGTAGTTGTCTCATCAGTGTATTAATTAGTTTTATAACTAACAACAGTAATTTTTCAATGCTTAAATATCCTGAGGGGTCTTTTTCAGGCATTGATTGATAAAACCGACCAAAATGCACATGAAGAGGTTTTTGTAGTACAAATTAAGGTGTTTGGTATTCAAGTCTAATTTATATCAGAGTTACATACCCGTAATGATGTACATACATATTAAACATATATCAATATTATTTTATTTCCAGAGCTAGACAACAATACTGCTGTCCTTTGAAAATTTCATATGCCAGAGGAGGAATGCTTTGTAAGATACTGTTCCTATTATTGGTGACTTACAGTACCGTGTTGATTTGTCATTGACAGGTGTACAGATGCCTAAGGTTAGCAGTCCACCAGAAAGTATTGGTAAAACCACCAGTAACAAGGACAGCAAGGAATCCTTCGTTGGCTCCGAACTCAACGGGAACTTTGAGGAAACTTGTAACTGGGTCATCAAACAGGCTCTCTCTACCCCCCAGGTGGAAAAAAGGCGGCGCCACAGTCGGGTGGAGGACGAAGCTCAAGTCCAAAAGATTGTCGAGGTACTGACTAAACAAAATCGTGTAATGGGTGTTAATAGAAAGGACGAAGTGGAACTAATGTCCTCATTTTTTGAGGATAATGATCCATCAGAAAATGTCCTTAAAGTTCAACAAGTAGCGGCTGACAAAGATTCAGGTCAGACGTGTGAACGTGGACGAGTTGGTGAAAAGTGTGGAGTTGATAAAGATGGAAAAATAGAGCAAACCATCAAAGATGTAATACCGGCTAAAGATCAAGTGAAAAAGAATGCACCTTCTACAAAGCATGTTGATGTTAAAACTCCAGAGATAACTGTCATGTCATCTGAAGGTGAAAGGAAATCGGATAATTCTGATAGTGTGTTTGTAAACAGTGACCAGGATGCTACAGGTAAAACAACAAGTAACAATGGCGCAGGTAACACTACGAGTAACAATGGCGCGGGTAACACTACGAGTAACAATGGTGCGGGTAACACTACGAGTAACAATGGCGCAGGTAACACTACGAGTAACAATGGCGCAGGTAAAACAACAAGTAACAATGGTGCGGGTAACACTATAAGTAGCAGTGGTGCAAATAAGGCAACAAGTAACAACAGCACAGTTGAGGCTAAAAGTACCAACGGTGGGGCCAACACTACAAGTAACAATGGTGGGGCCAACACTACAAGTAACAATGGTGGGGCCAACACTACAAGTAACAATGGTGGGGCCAACACTACAAGTAACAATGGTGGGGCCAACACTACAAGTAACAATGGTGGGGCCAACACTACAAGTAACAATGGTGGGGCCAACACTACAAGTAACAATGGTGGGGCCAACACTACAAGTAACAATGGTGGGGCCAACACTACAAGTAACAATGGTGCAAATAAGGCTACAAGTAACAATGGCAGGGATGTGAGAAAAGCTAACAATGCTTCAGTGAAGGAAGCCAGTCACAAGGCTGTAGGTCAAATTGATACAGTCAACAAGCCTGTGACGGAGAGCATACCGAGAAACATCCCTCCGTCGTCTACGTCCATCTCGCATATTTCTAGGGCATATGATCAGAACAATGGAATATTGTTAAACTCCCTGAATTCAGACATTGACCAGCGTAAATTTGTAGCTGACCAAGGTCATAGGTCACCTGGTGAGCAGCCTAAAGCACGAGAAGTACAGATGAATGGGATCCCGTTACAGAATCAGATCACATGCTCTGTGGAGATCCACCGCGAGAAAAGCCTCACTCCTGTCTCCCTCAAAGACTGGATAGATGGTGCCAAACCACGGACTGAGAGTATCAACTCCATCACCAAGGAGATAACCTTACAAGAGTCGAGCGTATGACCAGGGAAACTCGGGAAATGGTTGTTAGGGAATTTATTATATTTTGTTGCCATTTCTATATGAAGATGAGATTCAAACAGTAAGACTTGATTTGTGATAAATTTAGGAGGTTTAAAGTGTCATTGCGGTGTAAAATTTAAATTTGAACTCATTCACTTTTTGGCTATTAATTAAGGGAGACAATGACGCTGGATTCAATTTCAGGTCAGCAACTGTATGCTGTTGGGTTCCTTATTGATTGTATATATGTGTAATGTAAATATATAAACAGGTCTGTATCCAATAGATGTACACTCGTACATGATGGTCAACATTCCCCTCCCCCCCCAATCAAATAGATAAAACCAGTGTCCCACAGTTTCTTAGTTACATGTACATAATGCAATTCTTGAGAACTTGGGGTATAGCCAATAGTTTTTGGGGGTGAAACAAACCCTTCATTTTTGGGTTTTATGGCACAAAAATCAATACACACAGAGATTGCACATATTGTTATGTCAAAAATCAATACACACAGAGATTGCACATATTGTTATGTCAGAAGCTGTTTGTGAAACTCTTGTTTGTTAAGACTTTTTCTTCTTAACCTTTTGTACATATTATCTAAAGTATGGTAAATTTTAACCAAACATGGCTGTGTGATCAAGAAAATGTGCAATATGTATGTTTATAACATTGTTTAATTGTTTGATTGAAATACAGAAGTTGATGACAAGTCCAGATATTGAGCCATGAGTTAAAAACAATATCAGTTTATGTGATAGGGTTTTAGGGGTTTTTCCCTGAAGTGTTATATTTTTTTCTTAAACATGACGTTGCCATGTATGTTATCTTTGTGTGTACGGTTTTGTATTTTAAACTTATACAAGTAGATATATAGTCAATAAACCTTTTGTTTTTTAAATACAGAATTCATTTGAAATCTTCTTTTATTTACGAAAGTTTTATATTTTTGCTGAGAGTATTTCTTTTTCATAGTATATTACTTCAAATGATTTTATTGTGCAGATCATCCATTAATCATTACCTAGCCAGTGTAAAATTTTAACAAATGGTGTATAAAATACCATAGCCTACCTATTAAATGCCCTTGACAATTAAAAATAAGGAAAAATGAGAATGATAGCTGAACCCTCCAATATGACAGACACTTTTCTGAAGTATGGTAATTATAATATAAGGTGGTCAGTTATGTTAAGGGAAAGGATGCCTAACCAGGAAATGCATATGGAACACTTAAGAGGTATGGGGCACATATTAGGTCAAATACATTTCCCACAAACCAAAAAATCGGTACATTACCTGTTGCCCAGTAAGGTTATATCCTGAAGTCAAAGAAGACAGCAAATTATATTATAATGGAACCAATCGTTTTCCAAGAAATTATCATGTGATTTACTAAATAATAGTTTAACTAGCCTGTACTTATAGAGTGATGTGCAAGAAGTCTGTCCCATAAGAATTTAAGTTAATCTTCTTTTTGACATCCAATTTCAATAAATATTTACATCCTTAAGGAGAATTATACATTGGTTCTGGTTGTAATATTTATTAAGTGACCTGTGGCTGTATTATTGAGATGTGACTCTCCATCTCTACATAAAATCATTTATTTGACACCATTCCTGGTATTGAAAGTTTGACTGTTCTGTATATAGTTGGAAACACAGATACTAGTAAAAGGCACAGGAGGCACGGTAGTCCAGTGGTAGGACGCCGGGCTCGTGACCGAAGGGTTGCGGGTTCGCGCCACGGCACGGCAATGTGTTGTATCGTTGAGCAAGATTCTTTACTCCGCTTGTTCTAGTCTACTCAGCTGTAAATTAGTACGTGGTTGGGCAGTGCTAGAATTGTTGAATGCTAGCTATTAGCGCCGAAATGGCAGCTCTGGCTGTATGCTCCCAAGGGAGTTGAGAAATATATTGGCTGGTTGCAAAGGCCCGATAACCATGAATAATAATTTGTGAACCGCTTTGAGATGACCTAAGAACTAGGATGTGATAAAGCGGTATATAAAAACCTCCAATTATTATTATTATTATTATTATAACAACAACACCATAATGGGTCCAAATTTTATAAATTTATAATGTTCTTCATTGTTTAAGTACTTATCTTTAGAAATTCTTTTATTGACAGTTTTACAGAAACTTAATCACTTCTTTGACACTTAAGCAAACATCCATTATGCTTGAAATCTATTAAAAAATATTTGTGAAAATTGGTTGGAGCCCGTCTGTAAGACTTTTATGTCATTTTTGCATTCATTGTTATTGATGTGTTTTCAGACTGACAATTCACTATAAAATTAATTTTACTGGCTACAAAACTTTTGCTTTGTTTACAACTATGGAGTAAATGTAGTTGATTGGTGTAAGAAGTTCATGATTTAAGGATATAAATTGAGTACAGGGCACTCTTTTCGATACACGGTAGTTTGACGACAGAGCAGGTCTCACAATTCGTCAAAACCCCATGACAGCTCCCGTACTATTATGAGTAAATTGTCCTTGAGAAAATACATCAAATAGCACAATGAGAAAGGAAATCACCATGTATATTATTATATCTCATGATTTAAGCACCAATATCTGTCAGAAAAATAGAAGCATATACAAGTGTAGTGATGTCTACCTGTACCGGATGTCTTAAATGTGTATCATATGTGTTATTGTTTCTGAGGTATGGTTGAAAGGTGAGTGCCATTATCAGAGTAATATAAAAAGGAATTTATGGTTGTTTTATATTGCAATGTAGGTGCATTATGTACCAAATGTGGGATTTCACACAAAATTGGAGTTTTACTGTCAGAATTTTGTGGTGTCGTAAAATTGGTTGAATACAATAAATACGTTTTCAAACACATTGTTTGATTAGTTTTGAACGTTTGATAATGCTTAAGAATTTGTATTCCTTTTTTCGCACCATGTGTGATCTGTTTAAAATCAGTTTCATGTTTGCAAGGCATTTTATGTCTTGCTTAATGATTTGACTAAAAACACATGAAGGGAATATTTCGAAATTTGAGCACAGTTTTTGAAAACAAAACCTACAAGGGTCCAACTTAAGACCTATTTATTGGCAATCCTATAGGCTACACCTAACCTGTGTTGCTATCCAAAAGTTTTCATGCACAACAACAACAACATGAGAGATGAACACCATAACAAGGCAGGTAACTCCAAGTCAGAACAAATCTTTTTGTTGCTTCATTTTCAATATAGAAGGGAGACTACTCCCGAAGTCAAAAAAAAATACAAGTGGAATTCTTCATGATTATTGTTTGTGCAAAAATAAATATCATGTGCAATAGAAGTAATCTACACCAGCTTATCATGACGGACATTTTTTGCTTGAATTCACTTATTTCAGTTTTGAGGGGTTGAGTTCAGCTATTTTCAGCAGCTGATGAATTCTGTTGCATTCTTTTGAAATGATGATGTAAAGAAGATTCTTTTCTGAAAGATACCATGGAATGTTTTCCAACTCTTCATCTACATGTCTTGTGTATTTGTCAATTATCACTTCTGTTTTGGCCCCACCAATAATGTTTCTTTGTAAAATAAATATTTGACTTTTTCCTATGGTAAAGCTTGTTTCGAATCAGTGTATTCACTTTCAAAAACATAGGCAAATGTAGGTGATACATGTATTAGTTTAAAGGGAGATAACTGTTAATAATTGAAATGTTTATGTTGCCTGTGATAGAAATACTGGAGATATTAAAGTTATTGAACATGGAACTGTTTTTTTTTGTTTTCCATAATCAATATGTCACATAACTATACCAGCTTTGACAAATGTCAAGGTCAGGTACTTAATGACAAACAATTAAACAATAGAATTGTCAGGCCAGACTTAGATGTTATGTGACATACCAGGATAACAGATGGTAATGACAATTGAACCAAATTGTGGACTAACAGAATTCTAGTTGCTTCAATACACAGTATTTAAGCATTCAACGGAGACATTTTATCACTTATTGCACTTTAAGCAATTTTGAAATGGAAATAAGCATTTTGGATTTTATCAGTATGTACTTCATGTTAATGTTCTCCAGTAGAAGAACTGAAACAAGAGGCCCAATGGGCCTGAATCGCTCACCTGGTATAAATTTCACACTTGTTATCTTAAAAGTGGACTAAAATACAATTACAGGCAGAATATTGGTGATTGATTAATAAGAACCTATTAAAATATTTAAACATATGACACCCGTGACCTTGAATGTCGAACAAGGATATTAGGTTGAACAGAATTTATAGTCTTCCAACCCAGCATGCTTCTAACAAAATATCATTACCCTGGACTTTTTGGTTATACAGAACAAAACACTTAAAGATTTAAACATTATGACTAATGTGACCTTGTATATAAGTCAAGGTCATTCATTTGAACAAAGTTGGTAGCCCTTTATCCCAGCATGTTACAGGCCAAATATCATCTCCCTAGGCCTCTTAGTTATTCAGAAGTTGTTAAAAGATTTTTTAAGACAATTGACCCCTGTGACCTTGAAAATTGATGAAGGTCATTCATTTGAACAAACTTGGTAGCCCTTCATTCAAGCATGTTACTGGCCAAATATCATTATCCTAGGCCTCTTGGTTATTCAGAAGAAGTTGTTTAAAGGTTTCATACATATTTGACCCCTGTGACCTTGAAAATGGATGAAGGTCATTTATTTGAACAAACTTGGTAGCCCTTCATCCCAGCATGTTACTGGCCAATTATCATTACCATAGGCCTTTTGGTTATTCAGCAGAAGTTGTTTAAATGTTTTCAACATATTTGACCCCAGTGACCTTGAATATGATTCAAGGTCATTCATTTGAACAAACTTGGTAGCCCTTCTTTCCAGCATGTTATTGGTCAAATATCATTATCCTAGGCCTCTTGGTTATTCAGAAGAAGTTGTTTAAATGTTTTATACCTATTTGACAGCTGTGACCTTGAATATAAGTCAAGGTCATTTATTTGAACAAACTTGGTAGCCTTTCACCCCAGCATGTTACTGGCTAAATATCATCACCCTAAGCCTCTCGATTATTCCAAAGAAGTTGCTTAAAGATTTTAACATATTTGACCCCTGTGACCTTGAAAATTGATGAAGGTCATTTATTTGAACAAACTTGGTAGCCCTTCATCCCAGCATACTCTGGCCAAATATCATCACCCTCAGGCCTTTTGGTTACCGAGAAGAAGTTGTTTAAATCAAAAAGTTGACGTCGGCCGGACGCCGGACGCCGCACCATGCCATAAGCTCACTTTGCCCTTCGGGCCGGGTGAGCTAAAAACTGAAGGAAGGCAATTGCAAGTCAGTTTTTTGAAAGGCAATTATAAGATAATATGAAATACGGTACATATATTCCTTTAGCTTAAGTTGGTCCAGTACAGTATGTTTTCTCCTTTCACCCCATTCCAGGAATAGTTACTGAATAGAACATCACAAATGTTGTTTCTTCTTAATTTTCATACATTAAATTACAATAGTACATCAGACGATTTTAAGTATGTCAGATTGGCTTGGGATGGGTGCATATCGTTACCCCAGGCAGTATTCTTGTTTTTATCATGTCTCTAATTATTACTGAAAATTATGCACTTATTCAACAGTTGAAGGTCACATAGACCTAAATACAATGCCCTGCACATTTACAGTGGATGATGCCGGTGTACTTGGGTCAAGAAATATCTAATGGTTTAAAATTTAACACAATTTCACAGATGGCCACAGTACATTGCACACCAATTGTATACTTTGTTGCACATATTTGAACTTTGACCTAAGCTAAGGTCAGTGACCTCAGCAAAATACATTGAGAACTTTCTGTTGGTGATGTAGGTGTACTCAATATCTCATCAATATCTTTTGGAAGGGATTAAAAAAAGTATACTGAAAAATTTGAAGCAGTTATTTGACCTTTGACCTAGAGGTGAAATTTATAGTGGCAATACAAATACACTGTGACCCTTCTGTGGGTGATAAAGGCAAACTAAGTTTTATATAGATATTTTTAATGGTTTAAAGTAGTGATGGGCATGGTCATGGTTTCAGTGACTAAGTAGTTATGGGCTGATGATCAATTATAATCGAACATTTATCGGTTTGCCACTTCTGATTCCGAATATAAATTCCATAATTGATATAATCTGTTCAAAGTATTTAAATGTCTTCATGTTAAGTTTTCTTTGAAAGTCATATATATTCTATGATTTGTACTACATCATTGATAACAAGAGGCCCATGGGCCTTAACGGTCACCTGACATCCGATTCAAATTAGGACCGTCATCCAGGGGCCAATTCATACTTTTCGTCGGTCCGAGTGACCTTGCTGCATCGTCCATTAATTTTTCCTTGTGAACACAATAACTTCAGTAAATATGAACCGATTGTGATGAAACTTTGTATGCAGCTTTGTATCAATAAGATCTTGGATGAGTTTGAATACCGGACCAATTTGACCATAACTTACATAGTTATTCCCCTTGGTAATTCTATTAATGTTGGACCCTGTGAACACAATAACTGAAATAAATGGGTGTGACTCCAATTTTGATCCAAGGGGTCTGTTTTGAACAAACTTAGTAACTGTAGGTTTTCTGTTCTTGGTTAAAAGAAACAAGTAAAAGCGTAAATCAATGATTTAATAGCACCTTGTTAGTAGCAAAATTGCGTCACTAATGAAAAAAGTGGTGTACCACATGAATTTACATCTATTCTTGTGTAATGTCAATCAACATCACAGGGACAATTAATAATACAAGAGGCCCAATGGGCCTGCATCGCTCACCTGGTAGGCCAAATATCATCACCCTGGGCATTTTGGTCGTTCAAAAGAAGTTATTTAAAGGTTTTTTTTAAGACAATTGACCCCTGTGACCTCGAATATGAGAGAAGGTCATTCATTTGAACACACTTGGTAGCCCTTCACCCTAGCATGCTACTGACCAAATATCATCACCCTAGGCCTCTCGGTTAATCATAAGAAGTTGTTTAAAGGTTTCATACATATTTGACCCCTATGACCTTGAATATGGGTGAAGGTCCTTCATTTGAACAAACTCGGTAGCCCTTCACCCTAGCATGCTACTGACCAAATATCATCACCCTGGGCATTTTGGTTGTTCAGAAGAAGTTGTTTAAATATTTTAACATATTTGACCCCTATGACCTTGAATATGGGTGAAGGTCCTTCATTTGAACAAACTCGGTAGCCCTTCACCCTAGCATGCTACTGACCAAATATCATCTCCCTGGGCAGTTTGGTTATTGAGAAGAAGTTTTTTAAAGTTTTTAACATATTTGGCCCCTGTGACCTTGAATAAGGGTGAAGGTCATTTATTTGAACAAACTTTGTAACCCTTCATCTCAGCTAGCTACTGACTCAATATCATCACCCTGGGCATTTTGGTCGTTCAAAAGAAGTTATTTAAAGGTTTTTTTTAAGACAATTGACCCCTGTGACCTCGAATATGAGAGAAGGTCATTCATTTGAACACACTTGGTAGCCCTTCATCCCAGCATGCTACAGGCCCAATATCAGTACACTGGGCCTTTTGGTTATTGAGAAGAAGTTTTTTAAAGTTTTTAACATATTTGGCCCCTGTGACCTTGAAAATAGATGAAGGTCATTTATTTGAACAAACTTGGAAGCCCTTCATCCCAGCATGCTACAGGCCCAATATCAGTACACTGGGCCTTTTGGTTATTGAGAAGAAGTTTTTTAAAGTTTTTAACATATTTGGCCCCTGTGACCTTGAAAATGGATGAAGGTCATTCATTTGAACAAACTTTGTAACCCTTCATCTCAGCTAGCTACTGACTCAATATCATCACCCTGGGCATTTTGGTTATTCGGAAGAAGTTGTTGAAAGTTTTTAACATATTTGACCCCTGTGACCTTGTATATGGGTGAAGGTCATTCATTTGAACAAACTTTGTAGCCCTTCATCCCAGCATGCTACAGGCCCAATATCAGTACACTGGGCCTTTTGGTTATTGAGAAGAAGTTTTTTAAAGTTTTTAACATATTTGGCCCCTGTGACCTTGAATATGTGAGAAGGTCATTCATTTGAACAAACTTGGTTGCCCTTCATCCCAGTTTGCTTCTGGCCACATATCATCACCCTAGGCCTTTCGGTTATTAAGAAGAAGTCTTTTAAAGTAAAATATTGACGCCGGACGACGGCCGGACGACGGACAGACGGACGGGCGACGGACGGACGACGGACGGACGACGGGCGCCGCACCACGGCATAAGCTCACTTGGCACTTCGTGCCAGGTGAGCTAATAATGACAAAGGGCGATAACTCTGCAGGTTACCATCAAATAATTACCGGACAAAGTTTCATTGAATTCCGTCAACATTTATTCAAGTTATCGTGTTTACAAGGTCCAATAATAATATTATTAACAAGAGGCCCAAGGGCCTTAGCGGTCACCTGAGTTATATCATAGGTACTGGTAGCTCTATTTTATTGTTAAGATGTGACTAAGTTTGAGTAATTTTCAACTGAAAAATTAGGGTTGGGGTAGGAATCCCAATTTTACAATTTAAAACCATCTTCCTCCTCCAAGGATGATTCTGACCAAGTAAAAATAATTTCCAACAGAAAATTGTCAAAATATACCCAAAAGTGTTGTTTCTCTATATAAACTATAGTAAACTTTACCCCCTCCCCAAGGGAGAACGGATAGCTCGGGGGTCCTGAAATTTACAATTTAAATAAAGCCCCTGATGATCTTTCCATCCATGCAGAGAAAATGACTGTAATACCTCTGAGTCTGGAGAAGAAGATTTTTGAAATATTGGTTAATTTTCCCTTTTGGGCCCCGCCCTGGCCCCTAGGGTTGGGGTAGGAATCCCAATTTTACAATTTGGTATCCTCATCTACCAAGGATGATTCTGACCAAGTTTGAAAAAATTCCATCCACTGGTTCTTGAGAAGAAGTTGATTATGTAAAAGTTTACGCACGACGCACGACGGACGACGACGACCGGAAAGTGATTGGAATCGGTCACTTGAACAAAGCTCAGGTGACCTAAAAAGGGCAATAACTCTCTAAGTTATTGTCAAATAATTCCCAGTTTCAAACTCATCCGAGATCTTATTGATATAAGGCTATATACAGAGTTTCATCAAACTTGGTTGATATTTAATCAATTAATCGTGAACACAAGGTCCAATACAAAAAAGTGTAATAATATTATTACAAAGGGCAATAATTCTGTAAGTTACTGTCGAATAATTCCTATTTTCGAACTTATCCGAGATCTTATTGACATATGGCTGCATACAAAGTTTCATCAAACTTGATTAACATTTACTCAAGTTATTATGTTCACAAGGTCCAATAATAATATTATTACAAAGGGCAATAACACTGTAAGTTACTGTCGAATAATTCCCATTTTCGAACTCGTCTGAGATATTATTGATATATGGCTGCATACAAAGTTTCATCAAACTCGGTTAACATTTACTCAAGTTCTCGTGTTCACAAGGTCCAATAATTATGTAATTACAAAGGGCAATAACTCTGTGAGTTACCATCGAATAATTCCCATTTTCAAACTCGTCCGAGATCTTATTGACATATGGCTGCATACAAAGTTTCATCAAAGGCGGTTAACATTTACTGAAGTTATCGTGTTCACAAGGTCCAATAATAATATTACAAAGGGCAATAACTCTGTAAGTTACTGTCCAATAATTACCATTTTCGAACTCATCCGAGATCTTATTGACATATGGCTGCATACAAAGTTTCATCAAACTCGGTTAACATTTACTGAAGTTATCGTGTTCACAAGGAAATGTTAACGCACGATGCACGATGACGGACAAAAGGCTATCACAATTCGTTACCATGACCTATGGTCAGGTAACCTTAAAATGCATAAAAGTTGCTTCATATCCATTCATTATAAAAGAATGAAACCTTCTGTACATGTACAACTCTGTCTATTGATGTTACAGTAGTGTTCTCACTTTATTTGGGTATTCAGTCCCATAAAATTATAAACCAATTATATATGCAATCGATCATCGATCGGTTTACAAATTCCGATTACAAACTGATTATCGATTATAATTTTAAACTGATTGCCCATCGCTAGTTTAAAGTGTAGAGCTCCAACAAAATGTTAGTGAATAATCAAAAGAAGACCAGTACGAATATTATGTTCATTTTTTATTCTTGGGGGAGACATTCCACTTTATCGGAGGCGACATTCTAAAATACATTTTATATAACAAGATTATCAACATTAAAACAGGTTTTGTCTGCTTTAAAAGAAAGATGCCGGTACACAAAATCCACAAACATATATATAAATATCATATACTAATTTAAAAACTTGATTAGTCCTTAGTTGAATACATCACAACAGCTCTATACAATATGTGTGTAAATAGTAAGTGGTAATAGTGGCATGTTTGATATTCAACAAAAACAACAATCCTACTCACAATCTTAAGACTCGGAACTTAAGAGCGTCCATTGATGTGTGATATTGCAGTACAAACAACAGGGCTCTATTGTACATTCAGAATCTTCGGACCTTTATGAAAAAATGTCAATCCTTTAGACTATTTAAAAAGGTCAATCAGAGCTATAAAACTAGAAATATGTCGATAAACATTTATGAACAGACAAATCTCATTTAGCTAATCGGTTCAACTCTCCTCAAGTATTTCTCACTGGAGAGGAGTGTGAGCTGCATACTTTGGACAAGAATGTTAAGAGTATTTAGATGGTCTTCAGGTAAACTTGACCCGAGTCCAAAAAGTGTATGCTAAACAGTTCTTCCCATTGAAGGTACGTAGATTGCATTGTCTTGTATGAGGTATGGCGTGGCCATGTACTCGACAAGTCATTTCATCTGGCTACACAATGGGACTATTCCGCTGACAACATCCACTATATCCCGTCCATATTGACAGGTTTTGATCTACAGTCGATGCCCAATAATGCAATCTCTCAGTCATTTTCATCATTATCATCATCTGGAGGACTGTGGCCTTCTCCATCCTCCATTTCTCTACACACTTTGCGGTAGTAACTTTGGTAACTGTTGCTGGTTGAGACGGGGTTCAGAGGCTCACCAGAGTAGGCAGAATCTTCTTCTCCACTTGACAGCTCATCTGCATCCTCTGCAGACAGGAAAAATAGATCAAAACCTCAACATCCACTACATTTAGATAAATCTTCAAACCTCCAAAAACTAGAACACTGACAGGTCAGTAAGGGCCTCGTCTTGTGGCAATATATCCCCCATAATCATCAAGAAGCAATCTGCCCATATAGCTGAGCTTGACGTTTGACATTTGGACTTCAAAAAGAATCGCAAGGAAGCAAAACATACATTTTACATGTACTATGATGTGAGTCTTGTTTCCTTCCACCTCAATATTTGCTGGGCTAAAAGAAATGTAAATACCGGTGCAATACTCATTTGTTAGCTTTGATTTGTTTTATTTCAGAGATCCACTATGTCTTTGACCTTTGGACCCAAATGACCTTGACCATTAACCCAATGACCTTGAACTTTGGTCAGTTGACTTATTCTTTAATTCCGACCAACTTTGCTTCATAATATCATAACAAAATGTTCATCAGTGAAAAATACAAAACTTGACCTTTACACTTTGGAACCCGTAAACTGGACCTAAGGTCAGTTGACTCTGTGTTAAGTTCTGAACAAGTTTGCTACATAATTACATAAAATGACCTTGACCTATAAAATGACCTTGACCTTAAGTCAGTTGACTCCTTTTTAAATTCGGACCAACTTTGCTTCATAATGTCATAACAAAATGTTCATCAGTGAAAAGATACAAAATTTGACCTTGACCTTTGAATATAATGACCTTAACATTTGACCTCAACTTTTTACCTCAGTGTGTCTCTTTGTTTAATTCTGAACAACTTTGCTTCATGTCATAAAATGCTCATTAGTGAAAAGCTACAAAATTTGACCTTGACCCCTAACCCGATGACCTTGACCTTTGATCAGTTGACTCCTTGTTTAATTCTGAGCAACATTGCTTCAAAGTGTCATACCAAAATGTTCACCAGTGAAAAGATGCAAAATTTGACCTTGACCATTAAACCTAATGACCTTGACTTTTTACCTCAATGTGTATTTTTATGAACTGAACATCTTGACCAAGTCTCATGTAAATCGTGGACGGACAGACAGACAGACAGACAGAGTGATTACTACAGGGCTCCCGTATCTCCGATACGGGGCCCTAATAAACAGAGCTTATTTGCTGTTTTTGTTAAGTCTATAGCTTACACATGAAGCATCTAGTAGATAAGTTTCAAGGCAGTCTTATTATTAAAGCATTACAAATGGTAGGTTGACATCAGCTTGAGACAAAGTGATTTACCTGAACAGACTCATTTATTTCATCAAACTATTAGTCACATACTGTTGCCCTAGGCCTGATGGTTTACATACATGTAAAAGATGTTTGAAGAGTTCAACAATTGATTTATAACCTTGGAAGGCATTTTTAACAGATTTTATTGTTATTTTTCTTTAAAAATCTTCAATATAAATGTGCACAGATAAGGATTGACCTTGCAATTTGACTGAGTCTGACCTTTGATGTAAGGACCAAAGATAGGAGATAAATGTAGGTGTCTACCCTTTACCATACACTTTAGTTTGGACTATAACTACATGCAGTTTCCTAAAGATATGTATGTTTATAATTACCTATGTTACAGCGAGTATGCATCCACTCGGCCAATCCTGCATCGCCAGCGTCACCAAAGGCTTGTCTCTCGACCACATCTGTCAACAAATTAAAAGACATGCTGACTTATTACAATGTACAAAATGCATATCATACAGTTTAAAGGGACATCACGTGAAGAGCCATATTTTTTTAATGAATGTATGTATTGTATGCACTTCCACTTATACTACGCCGCTATTCCCATATTCATAGTCCGTTCCAAATGTCCAGTTTGACCACTTGAATTGTTCGGGAAAGCCCTGCTAAAAAAAGCGCTGATAACGTCACCTGACTAGGCAGTAAACACAAGTGGTCTGAGCGAGATGAAACAGTTTCCAGAGGGGCCCCCAGAGAGGGGCCGTTGGGCAACTGCAACTTCTTACCGCGCTATGAAACCAAGTACATGTAATATGATTTCTAAGTTCGTATTCAAACTTATTGAACAGTAATCATTCATCATCAGAAGTTAATTGCACGCTTGCCAATATTCAGAATTGAAATTTATTTAACTTTAAACATATGTGTTGCCAATAAAATTGAACAAGGGATGGGGCACAAGTTTTTACAATTTATCACAGCCTTCTCCCGTCATACATTTACAATTAAATGTCAACTATGATAATAGGCATAAACATTAAGTAGAATTTATAAATATATATTGAATTTAGTACCGGAATGTGACCGGTACAGATGGTACGGGGCTAAACCCCTTCCCTACACCAAGGGACAAACCTTTCTGATTTTTTTTTATATATATTGCCGGGGCAGAGGAGGCAGGGTATTCATATTAGTACTAATTTAAATCTTGTATGTAAAAACAAAAATAATCGTTTAATTCAGCAATATAATTAAACCATACCATTTTATTGAACCCGGTAATATCATAAATTATGTAAATCCAAGGACTTAGATAACACGTATCTCGGTGACCCAGAAAATACGCCGTGGGCCATCACAACAGTTATCCCTACAAGGGCCTCATGGCAAAATCAAACTAACCAGTCACTTATCCCTTCCTTTCGCATAAACCACTGTATAATTATAGAAACACAAAGTAAACTCTCTCCAATACATGCCCATTAACATATTAAACTAAGTTCATCTGTGTTCAAACTCAGACTAAGATACTAGCGAACTTATAGTTTTAGATATTTATTCATAACATAAACAGCGCTATCATTTCTGTCGATTCCATTTCAGCTTAACCGGCTATCCGGAAGAATACATGCACCGTACTAACTGCTACGGCAGTTATTTTCTCCTTTGAATACTGCCCACATGCAATAATGATTCCGTAACGTACTCCTTGCGCTATCTTTTGACCATTTGGCAATTTTTCGTTTCATAGCTGACACGGTACAACACTTTTCTTTTGCTTACTTCACACAGCCAGTCATTTTGTTTACAAAGAAATGGTGTGCTATTCACATGCGCTAGTAGAGGGAAATCCCTGAACAAAACGTTGGTCAGACAGGCAGAAATACCGATGATTTTCTTAGATTTAATCATTTTTATGAATCTATTTCAGCCAAATCCAATCGTTATAGTCTCACTTGATATGTTTATGTAGTATTTGAAAAAAAGACAAAAAATAAAGTTACTTTACCGTGATGCCCCTTTAATTGTATTACTGTGTAATCTCATTAGTTAGATATGTTTTTAGACTTTTATATATTTCAAAATAATCAAAAAAACATTAAGAAACTAGAACTGTCGTGAAAGGAATTAAGAGACAGTTTTCATGTCTCTGTCTCTTTAAATATTAACATCCGACATTGTGATATCAGTATGCTGCTGCTACTGGTATATATATCCAGATATAGCTGCTGTTAACTTTGTGCGTGTACATTTTTACAGGATCAGTAATTAAGTTAAGAAGAAATTACAGAAATCACAAGTTTACAAAATACACAAGGAAACACTCTTGCTGGAACCGTGATCATCAGTTCAACTGATAAAGCTACATGTTAGGGCTGCAACGACACATTAACAAGACGATAAGATACGTATCACGATACTTTGGTCACGATACAATATGTATCATATGATACATATATAGTAACGTTGGAAGCAAAGAGAAAAGGGATGTTGCAAATTTTTGATGGCAATATTACAACACGAAATAGACTTGGTACAAAATGAGCATGACAATAGCGTAGGTGTATTGTAATACAAAAAATAAGATTGTGTATCATACTGAATTCAAAATATTGTGATATATCATTGCAGCCCTATAGTACATGTACATGCATGTTACACTTTATATATATTTCATTCCATTTGTCTATAAGTGTCCTTAATGAAGTGTCTTAAATTAATATTGTTGATGGGTCATTAAACAATATAATTATGTTCTAACAAAACTGAATACATAATAATAGAATAAGTAATCATCAATCTTTTAATTGTACATTGTACAATGTTATATCACCCTCAGCTTTAATTGTTGAATTCAGAATATCATAAAAAGAAAATTACTACTGTCAAAAACAAAACCAAAATTTCTGCTCTTGAAACTTACCACCACTATAGAAATAGTCTGAGTCCAGCTGGTTGTCCACAATGTGGGGATCTTCATCTGGATAGTCATTCCTCCAATTGTCCTCATCATTGCTGTCATCTTCATCTTCATAAACCTCTTCATCCTCCCGATGTGGCATGTAATCATGAACAAAATCACTCCCAAAAGCCTCGATTGTCAATGCATTTTCCAGGAGTTTGAAGCTGAAGTCTCTATTGTTTGTAAAGTAAAGGTCATACACATAATCCTCGTCCTGTGATGCTGTGGACTGGGGAACCCTTTCCTGTACTAGGGGGACAGCATTACAGGTGATACCGCTGCTGCTTTGAGATTGCTGAGGATAAAAAAAAATAATATATATAATCACTTACGATAATCGGTTTGTAACCAGAAGTAGTAAAGCGATCGATGATCAATTGCATAATTGGTATATAATTTTATGGGACTGAATACCCAAATAAAGTGAGAGCACATATACGTACTACGTTACATTACCATACAGAGTTGTTCACTATACAGTACATTTTGTTCTTTTATAATGAATGGATATGAAGCAACTTTTATGCATTTAAATCAATGATATAGTTCAAATCATAGAATATATACGACTTCAAAAGCATATTTTACATGGAAGACATTTAGATACTTTGATTTCAATGGTAAACCGAATATATCGATTATGGAATTTGCAATCGTTAATCGGAATCGGAAAGGGCAAACCGATCGATTTTCGATCATAATCAATTATCAGCCCATCACTACTTACAGTCACTAAAACCATGACATAAATCAGTTTTAGTGTTGTGTATTGCAAGGGTAGGTGGATGTAGCAGTATAATACATATCACAATTAACAATGACCTGGGTTGTAATATAGCTAATTATCACAGCTGAGACATGAAGTGGAAACAAGAGGCAATGCACAGTACGTATACCCTCCCAGGGATTGCGGGATTTCTAGACACAGTTTTCATTTTACAATCCAAATGTGTATTCTGATTCATTCCTCTGTCTGTCATATCAAACATGATTGAAATTTACTTGATTGAAGATCAGGGTAATCTTTTTTCATGCCTAATATCATATGGCATGTGAGCATGTATTGTGAAATGTATTATATACTATTCTTGATAAACCTCCATCCCAGCTAGCTATATGTACTGGGTTCATACCATTATCCTAGCCCTTTAACAATATTAACTTGAGTAGAGGTAATGAAAGATTTGCAACATATCTGACACATTTGACCTTGACTGAAGGTCAAGGTCATTCATTAACATATCTCGATTCCAGTGATAATTTTAAATTTCATACTGGTTAACTAATATGACCCTGGGCTTTTTAGAACTTTTTCAAATGATAATTTATGGAACCCTTGTGACCCTGATTAGGTCAAGGTCACATATATATTTGAAAAACTCTGTGTTCCATCCCAGTAAAAATATATCTGGCCAAATATCACAGCTCTCGATCTTCTGGCACTATAATATATATATATATAGATCTAATGAATTATATAGACTAGGCTAAGGCCACCAACATAATTAAATAAATATATCACAAGCCGATTTCAAGCAAATTCTTTATAAGTTATTACCTCATTCACACAAATCTTGTCAAAAACTTTAGTACTGACCTGTACGACAGACTCGTAAGTTGGCGGCGTCCTTGACCCACCTGCAGCCTCAACATCATATAAACGAAATACACTACTGCTAGCCTGGTTTTCACTGGCACTGCTTCCAGCTTTGTTCACCACTACAGAGCTACCTGCAGCCCCTTCTTCACTTGTAGTAGGTTCCTGATTTTCTTTGTTCTCAATGTCTGTTTCATCTTGTGGAAGATCTAAATTGTCTAGAGCTATGGCCCTGAAACTAGAGGTGACCTTGAACCTAGCTGCCTTCACCTGCTGTCTGTGGTTTTGTCGAGTTTTGTCCGATACATCCACATGGTGCTGTTTATACTCCTTCTGAAGCTTGTCTTTTCTGATAGCATCACGAATATGTTTGGATACATCATCCTGGGAACAAAAACAGTTACCAAATAGTTAAAACTGGGTTTTTCAATCAAAAAATTGCACTTCGAATCTACTTTCACTATCCTATATAAAAAAATCAAAATTTTGTACTTCACTTACGTTATTGAAAATCGCCATATCTATTGGTTATTACAAACAACTTTTGATTGAACAGTTTTCGGTTTTGAAAGTATTTCACGACCTTTGAAGCCTTAGAAAAGTCGGGACATCTAAAATCACGAAAATGTCAAAACACGAAAAAACGTTCAACCAAAAGTTGTTTATAATAACCATATAAATAGCGATTTTTAATAAAGATAGTGAAGTACAAAATTTTGATTTTTTATATAGGATAGTGAAAGTAGATTCGAAGTGCATTCAACCATAACATTCAAAGATGTTACCCAAATGCAGGATTATTACCCATATGCGCCGTTGTGCCCAACCTGATTATTGCTATATATCATTTAATGTTTTCCCATGTGCATGTCTTCCTTGATTTTTTTGGGTCATTTGACTAATTAGATTCGTATATGGCCTCTGCAAATAGCTTTCAAAGTCCTGAAATTCTTTAATATAAATCTGTATTTATATTAGAGCGAGACAACCATGAGCGAGCTGGATTTATGGCGAAATGACCCGTGGCCGTACTAGTTCTAACGGGATTCAGGATGAAACGACCAAAAACATTACTAGTCCTGATAATTTGGCTAGTGTATTTCTACAGACTTAAAATATGCGATCGATCGACTTTCATCGCATAGGTAAGCAAACTGCATGGCGCTTACAAGTGAATCTCACCATGGCATGTTCTGTTGTGCAATATCTTAACTACAACAGACCCTTAATTGCATTTTTTAATTACCCGTGACTTGGCAGTTCCGGCAAACTTTAAACTACTCTGTAAATTGGAATCTTCCGTGTCATTTTTCCTTCTTTTACAAGAAACGACGATGTTTTCAACTGGTTCATCAGCACGCCGTCGTTTTACGCGGACTATCGTAGCCATCTTCTTTTTAATTCGGCACTTCTCTGGGGGTGCGTCTAATTACCCAATACTACCCAATACTACCCAATACCACCCAATACTACCCAATACTACCCCATACGATCCAGTTATGAACCAAATACTTCTTTGTTACTGTGAAATATCACCTTTGTAGACGTTATTTACTTCCATCTGCCATATTTTATCGGGAAATATGCGATTTGGTGCCGAAAACTTCACCGAATTGCCGTGACTATGACCCAATACTACCCAATACCACCCAATACTACCCAATACTACCCCATACGA